GGGAGGTACTGAACATATGGTACTTGGCATGGATGCTGGTGGCTTGTATGGATGCTTATCCTCCAATGCCTTCGTGGTAGCATCCTCGTATGGAGCAACCCCCGAGGAACATAATACTTTCACAGCTGCTGTGAAATGTCATCAGAAACCTTACGAAGACATTATCTGATGTTAGCGTCACCCCGTGTTCTATCCTCCTGAATGTACTCTTCTGTCTTTCCTTGTTGCTCCATCCTTGCATTGTCAACCAAGTTTTTAACAAGCTTGGCTATACCATCTTCTATACCCCAAGTAGCTAATGCGCTTAAGATGTAACGATGTTGCAAAGACTTCCTGTTCCCAAACCTACTTTCTTGTCTATTCTTGGGTTGTAACCTATACCGACAACATACATGGCATTTTCTTGTTGAGAAAAAATTTGTCTAGTTCATCCCAAAGATCTTTGGTTGTACAATTATCACGTGATATGATCTAAAGTAGATTGGAATCAACAGTAGAGTAAAACCAAGACTTGATGCGAGAATCAATGGAATCCCAATCTTCATCATCTTCACTGGTGGGTTTCGATTTTTCACTAATATGTCCCATAACTTTGGCACCTTTGCAATTGTCAGTAAAATTCTCCGCCAAAGTTTATATTTTGACCCATCTACAGTCGGTTTGAAGTTGAATTGATTCTACACATTAGTTACCACATAGACAAGGGTTTGAGCGGCGGGTACAATGGTGGAGGAGGATGACAGGAGGGACATAATTCCAGAAAAAATAAAAACTTGTGAAATAAAAAAGAATGAAATAGCAATGGAAAACTTACATCGAGTAGCAGGATCGTTGCGCCTGATTTTGTCTTTTCTGTCTTCATCTTCGAAACCCATCCTCTCTGAAGATTTTCTTAAAGTTCTTGAAGAATTTTGATTTAATAGTCTCTTACCATTTATGGAAACTCCTTATATGAACCCTCTTTCTTTTTCAGCTTTGTTTCAGGATCAAGTGAAAAAGTCTAAATTTTCGTTATGTTCCTTTATCAATATGTTATAAATTTATGCACTTTATCGATGTGTTTTATAACCTTTCAAAGCTTCCTTTAACTCCCTTCAGATTTGTACTCGATCTGCAACAATATTTACTTGCACAAATAATAATAAAACACACCATTATACCGTCTAGACACTACAAGAAATAAGGGTTCGACGTTAGTGGATGCTATTATAAAAAAACCCGGCATTTAGCAAGAAATTTGCAAATTGTCACAACAATATAATATTGGGGGTGATGATGTGGAGAATGAGGGGCAGGAGATTTGTGAGTATGACTAATTTATGTTTACTTTTATATTTTCTTAATGTTGTACGTAACGACATTAATATCTTGTGGGTTTTATATTAAGAATTTTATATAATAATGTCAATTCTGTATTTCTTCAACTCAAATACAGTTTTTACTCATTTAAATATTGGTTTTAAGATTTGCTTCAACAATAAAAAGGACTTTTTAGTGTCGACACTATAAGCGACCACATGCATTAGTAGCGATATGTCAATGAATAAATTAAATAACCTTTCTTCTCTCTCAATTTATGAATCACAACACAAAAATTGATAAGTACGCCTAACTAATCATGATTTTCACTAACAATAACATGTGAATCACGTCCAAGATTCTATTCTCCCTCTCTTTTTATATATATACCTTTTAGTCCCGTCCAATCCAACAATGCATGCATGGGGTCTTAGTACGTACTTAAATAAAATGATTCAAAGTCTAACTATTGGCGTGATCACTTTTATTTAATCTGATTTACATGTCTTGTTGATCGAATTTGATTCATTTTCAGACGAGAGACTGTGTTCATTGAAGAAGTCGTGAATGAAATTAGTAGTAAACTGGAGCCACACTTGCAGATGAGAATCCCACGCCTAATTGGGATGGACAATCTTATTACTTCCATCGGTTCCTGGTTAAAAAGCGGATCAACCAAAACTGCTGAAATTCTCACAATTTGGGGAATGGCTGGGATCGGAAAGACAACTTTTGCAAAACATATGTATAAATTGCACGAACACAAGTTTGAAAGAAGAAGCTTTGTTGAGGACATTGGAAGAAGATGTGCACAACAGACATGTTCGAAACTAGATTTGCAAAAACAGCTTCTAGGAGACATTCTAAAGAAAAAAAAGATTGAACCACATAATGTAGATCTGAGCACATCTAAGATTGAAAAAGCATTATTGAGGAAAAAGACGCTTCTAGTTCTAGACGATGTTGATAACATTGATCAACTGGAAGCGTTGATTGGAACAAAAGGGTTTCATCCAGGAAGTAAGATTATAGTAACAACCAAAGATGGGTCCATAACAGAAAAGTGTTCATTGTTTCGCATGCCATATCCTCCAGAACATGAAATTCTTGCACTTTGGGGCTTAAGTGATAGGGAATCTCTTAGACTTTTGTGTTGGAATGCATTTGGAAGCATTCATCCCATGAAAGGTTTTGAGAAAGAAGCACAACGGGCTGCAAAGTATTGTGTAGGACATCCATTGGCACTTGAAGTTTTGGGTAGGTCATTAGCTAATGAAGATATAGCCACATGGAATGATGTCCTTGAAATGTTGAAGGCAAAAGTAGATTTAACTGGTGTAAAAAAGATTCTACAAATCGGCTTTGATACATTACCAGAGAACTGCAAAGAACTGTTTAAGCATATTGCATGTTTTTTTGTTGGAACAGATAGAGTAGTTGCAGAAACAATATTAAAAGGATGCGGTATCCAGACATCATATGGGATCCGAAAGCTAATTGATAGATGTCTTCTTACGATTGAAAAATATAATGTGTTGGCGATGCATCAGTTGGTTCAGGATATGGGTAGAGATTTAGTCGTCGGAGAATCACCTGAAAAGCCATGGAAGCGAAGTCGTGTATGGAATCATGAAGAATCCCTGGATTTGTTAGAAAAAGACAAGGTAAAACAACATAGTCCCAATATTGTTCTCTACTAAAAAAACACAAGGTGAAATAACATAAAAGAGACAAGCAAGCCAAAACTTGAAAAAAAACAAAGATATATATATATATATATATATATATATATATATATATATATATATATATATATATATATATATATATATATATATATATATATATATTGTGAACATATGTTATTAATTTTCTTAATTTTTAACATCCAAAAAAAATATCGTTGAATTATTCTTTATCTAAAGATATTATTCATAAACATATAGTATATGTAATATTTTATTAAATATTACATAAACCAATATTTCAAAAACCTAAAAATATTCTACTAAAATATTATATATATATATATATATATATATATATATATATACACACACACACACACAGAGGACGGTTCTATTGAGATTCTAAAAAAAATAGAGATCTTAAACGTCAACCTCAACCATATATTTTTCATTTTTCACTCTCACACTCCAAAGTACCGGTGCAACCATGTATTCTTAATCATAAATGATTATACATGTATCCATGTTTTAAAGTGTTTAATCATTTATAATTATGGTGGTTGTGATGGAGAAAATGGTTGTGAAAGATGTGGCAGTGGTAGAGGTGACTGAGGTGGCAGTAGTGGGGTCGGTTGGTGGCAGAGGTGGTAGTAGTGACGATGGTGATTGTGGTGGTGGGGAAGGTCTGGCGGGGAAAGAAAACGGCTGGCGCTGCATAATTAATCATTTATGATTATAACTCTATCGTCGCGCCTATACAAAGGAGCGTTAGAGCGACAAATCTCTATTCTAATAAATGAATAATTTTAATCTTCTTTTGCCAAGTGTCACTATAATACAACTCTTCATTAATATTATAGTATTAACTAGGCGAATGTTCACGCATTGCGCAGAAACACCAATATAGTTGAAATCTTTACAAATGTATGTTTTTTAAAATATAACAATAACGTTGTGGTTAAATTTGATATAATAATTAGTATACTAAATTGATATAATATATTAATTATTTTAAATTATATGATAATATATACATCTATTATAACTGTATAATCTTAACAATTTGAATGACTTTACCATCGAGTTACTCATAAATAAAATTAAAAATAATATATGGCTTAATGTTAATAGTTTTTGTTATTGTTAATTAATTTTTAAAAATTTATTTTTTAATGTTTTAATTTCTATCATTATAATTATTTAGAACATCAGATATTGTTTTTTTATTTTAAAGGTAATAATATAATCATTTATATAAAGTTATTTTTAACTATTGTTATTGTAAGTTATTTTAAACTTCTTATTTGAAGACTTTTAACGATTTTACAAATTATTTAGAAAATATTTTAGTTAAATTTAGATTATAATTTAGTTTTTGTATTTAAGACTATCATTTATAACTTTTAATATTTAAAAAATATTCATTGGGTTTTTTAAGTGGAACTGAAATTTATATTTAAGTTGACACTGTAATGTTATATTTAAATTAACAGTTTAAGTATTTTGTCTAAACTATTCAAAAATTATAGCTTTAAATTGATAATGATTTACATATAACAACATATTAAATCTAATAAATTAAATATAATATGTTAAAACTTAAAGACATAACTTTATAAGTAGAAGTAAAGATATCATTTTAATATTGAAATTTAGTTTATTTATGATTACACTTTAGGTTTGATATTTATTTAACCTTATTAACCAAATTATAATCATTACTAAAAAGTCACTACAATTTATCACTTTTAACTATTTACAAACTATTATATGGGTTGTTTAAGTTAAACTAAAATTTGTATTTAAGTTGGTCCTGTAATGTTATATTTAAATTTATAATTTAAATATTTCATACAAATTGTTCAAAAGTTATAACTTTAAAATGATAATGATTTACATCAAATAATCTATTAAAATTAATAAATTCAGTATAATGTGTAAAAAGTTAAAAAAAATATGACTTTATAAGTAGAAGTAAATATATTATTTTAATATTGAAATTTAGTTTATATATGATTACACTTTAAGTTTGATATTTGTTTAATCTTATTAACCAGCTTATAATCATTATTAAAAAAAATTGAAAAGTAATGAGAGTTTTAAATAAATATGGTGAAAGGCAAAATGCATCAGAGTTTCAAATGAAAATATTTCTATCATTTACATTAACTGTAAAATATTAATTATTAGATTTAGTTAATATAAAATTATAATTAGTTTGAAAAATAGATAGAATAATGCTTATTAAAATCAAATCATTTAATCGTCTCTACTCATATTATATGTGT